CGCTTGGTCCTCCCCTGGGAAGGGGTAGCCCAGTGTCTCCGGTGATGCCCTGCCGTGCAGGGGTAGTGGCGTGGCTGGGAGAGGGGGGAAAAAAAGCAAGGAGGAGGCTTGGATGGCAATATCAGCGTGAGGACGGGAGTTAGCCTGTCACTGTAAAACCCAGCACGTCCAAAGCACCTTCCTGTCCCAGCACCCGCTGTTGCCCTGTCTTCTTGGACTTCCTTCATTCACAAAAAAAAAAACCCAACACCCAACCCCACATAGCCGGCTCGGAATCTCTGTGCCATGTTGAATCATGCGGGTACCAGCCACGCTTCTCCCTGACTCACCGATCCCAGAGTGCTGGGGTGAGGGTCAAGACGAGAACGGCAATAAACATCCTGGGAAACCGAGCCTGCATCTCTTGGCATAGCCGGGGACTTTTTTTTTTTTGCGCTTTCAATCTTCTCTTAAGGAGCTGCTTTCTCATAAATATCCCATCCTTTAGCACCGTCTGAGCAGGAGAGAGGCTCCCAGTGGGGTCATCCTGTGCTCTGCTCTGCAGCAGCAAATACAGAGTAGAGCCAAGAGTGAACCCCTGGGTGCAGGGCATAGCCCGCTGCCCCAGCAGAGGTGTCCAGGTAAGGCTTGCATCCCTGCTTCAAAGGGGCAGGAAGAACACTGCCTTCCTCCTCGGCTCCTTGCACCGAGCGGTGAGGCAGGCGTGGTGCCTCTGAGCCGGGCAGGGGATACAGCGGGAGTGCTGCGTCCAGCCTTCCCCACCCTCCTCAGCCTCCAGGTACCACCCAGAGCCTGAGCATTTAGGCTGGGTGGAGGCTTGCCTACAGGCTCAGGGGGATGGGAGAGGTCTGGGGGGGTCAGGGGGGAGCTGAGGCAGGAGCTCTGCAGGGCTGAGCATCTGCTCCTGGCAATCGGCCCAGCCTTGGGCTTAATTAACAGTGGCTTAAAGGGTTGAAAGGTGGGAAGAGTGACATTGCTCCTGATGCCATGCTGGTGGTGGGAAGGAGGAGGTGGCAAAGGGCATGAGCCACAAATCGTAACCGATTCGTTTAGGGCAGCATCTTGCCTGGAATGAATAGAAGGGACTGGAATTAGTTGGTAGCTGGTGTCGTCTCCTTGCTGCCCATTGTTAGTGGAATGAAAGCCCAGGGTGACTCTGGCTTGTGCCGGGGCCAGCCGGTGGTCTGGGAAGCATTTTGGGAGGGCTGTGCCCACCCCTGCTCCACTCTGTGCTGCAGTGTGGTGGTGGCAGAGCTGGGGGGCTTGCTGAACCCCCCAGCTACACCCACATCTGCTGTAAGGCTAATTGGAGGAGCAAAATCAAGCAGGGATGCAGCAGACGGGCATCATGGTGAGCTGGTGGGCTCTCAGTGTCTGGGTGAGGTTGGGGGAATGATCCCACAACCTGTTTGCAAATCTTCCTCTGTTATCTTGCTGTGGAAGGCCTAATCCTTCCTCTTCCTTGCCTGGCTGGCCCGAGGGCTCCTGGCAATGCACCTGTGAGAGCTTGGGCCAAAAAGTGAGCCCTGTGGCCCTGCAGTCATGGTAGTGCCTGGAGGGTGGGGAAGTCTGTGGTGAGGTGCTGCCAGGCTGCACCAAGGGAGCAGCCCTTGCCCAAATGGGTTAACGATTTATGTGATTAAGGGCTTGATTTTTTTTTTTAATTTCTTTTTTTTTTTTTTTTGAGCGGCCCCCA